CGGGAATTTCCTTTTTAGTCTTCAGCTTTCTATTTAACAGTTTCCTGTTTAGAGAAGTCTTCCCTTGTGCCCTCACTGTATTGTGTTTTCTGAACTTAATTAGTTGAGTTTCCTAGATTTAATCAGCTATTCTCTTTCATTATCCTATTTATTTCCATCACTGCATTATCACAATCTGCAATGGTCTTTTATCTGTTGTTAGTCTTCTCCATTATATTATAATGTCTGAGATCAGGGATCTTGTTATTCTTCTTACCTAGTGTATCCCTAGTGTTTAGCAAGGTTCTTGGATAGCAGAAAGTATGAAAAAGAACTTTGTTGAATTAAAGAATGTACAACTATATAGAATCAGTGTATAAAGCTGAACAGAATTTTTAAAATCCAAGCTAATTTTTTTAAATGCATAGAATATTTTTCTTCCAAAAAAAACATACATGAAAGGTAATATATTAAATAGACAGACAAGGATCTTTTTCTGACTAAAGTAGGGGTGGAAGCAGTTTAGCATTGCTAATTCAGCACCCTTCTGAAGATCTTAGAAAGCTTTGCATGGCTCTAACCACTTTGTTAGGTACAAGTCATGAACTAAGAAACCAAATAGTAACTTAGCAAGTACAGGTCTTTAGAAGGACAGCAGGGATTTGAACAATAGTCATACAATGGTCAATACAGAGCTTTGTCTATTGCTTTATGATAAAATAGTTTGGAATAAACAAACCTAACACCAGAGTCACAGAAGGTACTCAAATGATAAAGATTTTGATAATTCTTTGCTCCTTACTGCCAATCATCCTGAATTCCCATTCCCCCAACTGATTGTTTTTTAAGATTTCAAAAAAAAAAAAAAAAAAACAAACAACACTTTAAGTAATAAGAACCATATATGTCTTATTCTTTGCTAGCTGTGGATATTCCTCTCATCTTGATGCCTTCATTTAATTTAAGATCCTATTTAAAAAGTTTCTTAGAGAAGGGGACTTTATTTGATTTCATCTTCTCTTAAGAGCTTCACCTCTTTCTGATATCATACCACCTTAAACATACTAGGAAAATCACATTCTAATAAATCCAAATAAATTTTGTCCTACAGAAGGAAAATAAGACAATTTCACTTTAATGAATTTAACTTTGAATTCATAGCTCCACATATATTTAGATTTTAGATACTATTGTGGTAGTTTTTTTAGAAACAGATGACAGACTGTAAGTCAGGCAGGTTTCTTTTCAACACTTTTCTCATAACTGAGTTTAGGCCACTGAAGATTTTATTTTAGCATATAATTCAAGCATAAAATATTTTTATTCTGTTTAAAGCAGCATATATCTTAGATTTAGAATCTGTTACTGCCTTATTTTTTAATACAGAGCTCATTTCCCATCTTCTAGGAAGTAGGAACAGCTTCTGTTTTCTTGAAAACAAAGTTTCTCTCTCTCTCTCTCTCTCTCTCTCTCTCTCTCTCTCTTGTTTACTTTGTAAGAATCCAAGGTACCATCTTTGTGACACCGCCCAAGGAAAAATTTTAGAAGTGAAAAATTAAATCCAACATCAGGCTGTCTGATTAAGCAACAGTTTCTTGGATCATAAAATTCTTTTGAAAAAAAATGCCATGGTATTTTTACTGAGTTTATAAGCTGAAAGGCATTTAAAATTCCAAGGAGAACAACAAAAAGAATAAAAAAGAAACACACATGTGTTGTTACTAAAAAAAGGCACCAAAGATGTGTACTAGGCAGGACTGTTCCTGGGAAAAATTATGGAGCAGATGAAATCTGTGTTTATCATTTTTCCATGCCTGTGTTGAGCCTCTTTTTCATCTCTGCTGTGCCATCACCAGCTGTCAAACTGCATCATCCCTCCCTGGATTCTCTGTCATGTTAGCTGATGGTGTTCAGGACTTCATTTTCCTTACTACTGTGTTCCCCCTCCCCACTAACTCTTCGAATTCTGCTACAGAACTTTGCTAAAGAATGAATAGCTGTTAATGGCTTCTAAAATACCAAAACAAGTTTGACAAGAATTTTCAGGAAGATAATCACACTTTCTTGGCAGTTGTTACTTGGCTTCTGTGTGGTTCCATTTTTGATGATGACAGAAGAGGTATGACTGCTCTAAAAATGATGAAAACTATCAAGGACACCAGAAGGACAAAATATGGGAACAAAACTGATTATCTCTGGAAGTGAGGCTTAGAGACACGAAAGTCAGAAAATGAAGGAATTAGTGCTAGTCTGAGACCCGCTATATTATCTTATATATTAAACCTTTTACTTTCTCTGAGGTTGATTTTTTTTTTTCAGCTGTAAATTGCGACGACCCTAAGAGAAGATATAAATGAAATCACATGGTTCAGTGTCTACATCTCTGGCATGTATGATAGTTTTGTGGAGGGCTCCCTAATTCTTTGTATTTGCCAGGGGAGAATATCCATCATAGTTTTCCAGGGTTGAGAGGGTGAGACAGGAGAAAGGGGCACTTCATTGTTACTCTGAAACTGGAGGGAAAGATTTAATTTGCTGAAGGTTAAACACAGGTGACAATTTGCGTCATCCACATTCTTTTTTCTTTCCTTTTTTTTAAACAGGTAGAGTTAGACAGTGAGAGAGAGACAGAGACAGAGACAAAGGTCTTCCTTTCCATTGGTTCATCATCCCGAAATGACTGCTATGGCCGGCATGTTGCGCTGATCCAAAGCCAGGAGCCAGGTGCTTCCTCCTGGTCTCCCATGTGGGTGCAGGGCCCAAGCAGTTGGACCATCCTTCACTGCCTTCCCAGGCCATAGGAGAGAGTTGGACTGGAAGAGGAGCAAGCAGGACAGAATGTGGCACCTCAACCAGGACTATAACCTGGGGTGCTGGTGCCGCAGGCGGAGGATTAGCCAAGTGAGCCTCAGCGCCGGCCATCATCCACATTCTTTAAATGTCTTTTTGAAATATGCTGGTAATAATATCTATCATTTGGGAAAATATGAATTAGTGCATTATTTTAATGGTTGCTATAGAGATTATAGTCATGGGCAAATGTGAATGGTGAGATGCCTGTTTATGCTTCATTTATGATATATGTTGTATTGGTCTAGGAAGAGTTTTCCTCTTAATTCTGCAAACCTAATTGAGCCCACTGGGTCAGGGGCTGTCATAGAGAAAACATTCAATGATTTGGAAGTTAGAAGAGAGAGGAAGAAATACAGCATAAAGACTCAAAGGTTGTGTATCACAGGGATGGGTATTCGGTGAAGCAGTTGGGCCACCACTTGGGCTGGCTGCATTGCCTATCAGAGTTCTTGGGCCTGATCCCCAGGGCAACTTTTTTTTCCATCTTCCTGCTAATGCGCACTCTGGGAGGCAACAGTTAATGACTCAAATACTTGGGTTTCTGCCTGGATCGTGAATCTGGCTCCTGGACTCTGCCTAGTCCAGTCCTGGCTGTTGCAAGTATTTGGAGAGTGAATCAGTGGATAGGAGATCTCTCTACATCTCTCTCTTTCATATAAATAAAATAAATAAATAGTTTAAGTCACTATTTTTCTTCCCAGTCTGTCTGCACGATGAACTTATTCATGATTCACTTCTTAGTCCGTTCTGAAACCCCATGGGTTTATGGCGAGAAGTAAAGACAGCATTAGCTTTTGTTGTTGCTGTTTAATTTAAGGACTTAAAAATTATTTATTTATTTATTTTCATTTTTACTTGAAAGGCAGAGAGAGAGAAACTCCATCTGCTGACTCACTTCTCAAATGCCTGCAAAAAATGGGCTGGGCCAGACTGAAGCTGAGAGCCAGGAACTCAATTCAGGTCTTCCACATGGGTGGCAGGGATCCCAGCACTTGAGTCATCATCTGCTGCCTTCCAGGGTTTGCACCAGCAGGAAGTTAGATAGGAAGTGTATAAGGGGGACTCAATCAGGCACTCTGATATGCAATGTGGGCACTACAAGCAATGTCCTAACTGCTTTACCAAAATCCCACCCTGAGAATTAACTTTTGAAAAGCTGGGCTCTCCAGGGAAAGAGACCTACCATGGTTCATTTTCAATCTCCAAAGAACTGAGTCCTAAGGGAAGAGAGAGGTCACTTTTTGCTAGGGTCACAAGGGATGATGTCCAAGATAGCAGACTACCTCTAACGGCATGGAAACTTAGATAAGTAAACATAGATAATCTTGGGGACAAACCATGTTCAAAGACATGAGACAAGAAAAGAAGGAACAGTAAAATGAAACAGTAAGATGGCCAAAGAAGCTGTATTTGGAAGGATATAACAAATGCTGTAAATGAAGAGCCAAAGCAAGTAAGAGCTGTGCTCATTATTTATTAATGCCTTCCATTTGCCTTGAGGTCTGAGAGTTTATTCAATATACATTTAGAATTTCCACTACAGTAATGCTACAATTTAGGGTCAGATAGCTGATACTGATCAGATATTATGCTTGCAAAGAATTGCATTCTAAAGCTAGGATATTGCTCTACAATAATAATGTCAGTTTTATGAATAAATAACCAAATTGCTCAACCAAATTAAGGTTTGGACAACCAAAAGCATCCCCCCACCTTTTTTTTATTAAAGATTTATTTATTTATTTATTTGAAAGGCAAAGTTACAGAGAGATAGAGGCAGAGTGAGAGAGAGAGAGATATATCTTCCATCCACTGGTTCCCTCCCCAGATGGCTGCAAAGGCTGGAGCTGTGCCGATCTGAAGCCAGGAGCCAGGAGCTTCCTCCGGGCCTCCCATGCTGGTGCAAGGGCCCAAGGACTCAGACTACCTTCTACTAAAGCATTCCCTTTTAAATGCTTTATGACAGAAGTCTATGTGACTTATGAAAAAAGTGTCTTTACATTTGAATCTTAGGAGGACTAGTAACCAAGGCTTTCATTTTGTCCTTCTTTCAAGTCATAGTTCCACACTTCCAATTACCCACTGGCTGTATAAGGGTGTGTGTGTGTGTGTCGGTGGGAGGCATCAAGTAACACTGAGTATTTGAAAATGAACCCAGAAGGACTTACCGGAAGGCCCATGTGACCTGGTTTACCCAAGGGCCCTGGAGTTCCTTGTAAGCCCATATCTCCTTTTTCTCCATCCTCTCCTGGAAAACCCCTGCCTCCTTGAGTTCCCTGTAACCCAATACATTTTTTAAAAAATAATGCAGCAAAATAATTATGCTTCACAATAAGCAGACTTTTGTTTGGCATGCAAAAATAATGTTTTATATATTATAGATTTCATAAAACATCTTTTTTACATATAACATTAAAAGTATAATTTACCTTTAATCCATCTTTTCCTTGGAGACCTTCTTCTCCAGGAGCTCCTGGTTCACCCTATTTTGTAGCAGAAACCATAAGATAAAGTCTTTTGCTACACTATTTAGCTTATTTTTTGCCTCTAAAAAGTAGAAAGAGTAGCAGGTTTGTGTTTGTTTCGACTTCTACTTTATTTTTAAAGGAGAGTTGATGGTATAACAAGCATGATTTAATTTGCTTTGAATAGCTCTGCAGATGATTTAGGGAGTCAGAGCATTGTAAATTCAAATAAAATGTGGTCCCAGATTATGAGTAGGGTTTTGATATTTAAAGGTGCTATATATATATATATATATATATATTCATTCATTCATTCACTTGGTAGCTCTGAAAATTTATACAGCTAGACTTAACATTTCTGAGTTCAAGAAATGTAAATACCACATCTCATAAAATTATAGTACCTTCTATGCTGAATTTACATGAGTTAATACAACGTGATTCAGTTATGATTGCTGTATTAGACTTTTAGAACTTTTGCATTTTTTTTTTCTCATAGAGGACAGGCAAAGATTAATGTCCTGGTCCATCAAGAAGCTGAACTTACAGAAATACAGAGCCATGGTTTATGGAGCTTTTAAAGTAGTAATGGTTCTCTTGGTAGGTAAGTAATTTCAAAGTAAATTAACTTGTGCTTACTCATAGTTGTCCCACCTCTCCCTTCACTAACAGTTTCAGTACTTATATCTCCCACTCCCTCTAACTGCCTCACCACTCCTCCAAAAAAAGGGTAAATGAAAAGAAAGAAAAAAAAAAGAAGATGCAGAACTCTGACTTTTAGAGAACCAATGCCTCTTAAAGTATCTTTAACTCTATTTTCTTGCAAAAAAAACTCCTCATCATAAAAGGCTATCATATCAGTATAATTTCTTTAAACTAATTATAGCTATTTATATTTTTTCTTTGCATCTTAGTAACTTTGCATGATTCTAGTTTTTTAAAAAACATATATTAGATTTCAATCCTTTGTCTATCTTTATAGGTGAGGAAATTTCCTGAGAGTTGACCCTTGATGTCTGTGAATTTCTTCTTAATGCTATCATTAGTGACAATCACAGGGTTTCCACATTTTTGGCAAGGGTTAGCAGAGTACACCTGATTTGGAGAAGGGCATATGAAGTCAGGACTCTAAATACTACTAAATTAGAACATGAACAGTGTTTGACATGTGGTTTTTGAAATTATGAAATAAAGACAAATATTTTAAATAATGCACCAAAATGTTTATTACATTTGTTTTTAATGTCGTCAATCTAAGTTGACAAGCTTTGAGTCACTGACGTAAGCAGATCTATGAATTATTAAAAGGGTTTCCAGGAATGGACATTTAGTCTAAGAGTTAAGACATTCACATCCCACATCAGAGTACTTGGGTTTGATTCCTAGCTTTGACTCCTGACTCTCCCATCCTCCTCATGTAGACCTAGGGAGGCAGTGATGTTGGCTCAAGCAAATGGATTCCTTCCACCTGCAAAGGAGACTAGATCCTTGTTCCTAGCTTTGGTTCTAGCCTAGCCTCTGTCATTGTGGGCATTTTGTGAATGAATTAAATAAAAGAATTGTAAAAAGGGTTTCCAGTAGGCACTTACCCGTAACCCTGGTTCCCCAGTTCCTCCAACACTCCCTGCAGGTCCGACATCTCCCTGAAGAAACAAAGGGAAAGATGAAACTGTATTTTACTAATTTGCTGTCTAATTATGGAGGACCTATCATAAAGGATAGGAATTCCAGGACACTTCCCATTTTTATCTGCTGGCATTCACCAGACTTCAGAGGGAAAATGCTTGCCAAAAAGTGACAAATGTAGGGGATACAGTAGTGAAAGTTTAGAGCATCTTCCATTTACTTGTTAGGAAGGTTACCTTTGCACCTGGATCGCCTTGCAGACCAGGCTCTCCTTCAATACCTGGAGGTCCCTACAAGAGAATGTTTTGACACATGACAAAGTTAATAACAACCTCATAAGACAGCAGGAATTTTATTTTAGCACAGGGATAAGAAATCTGGGTCCAAAAGAGGGTCTTTGCTGCCCCTTTATAAACGTCAAGGCAGAAGACCTTTTAACAGTACAAATGGTCAAAACAACTTCACCTAAACTCAGGACATTTTTTTAAAAGATTTATTTCTTTATATGAGAGGCAGAGCCACAGACAGAGAGAGGAAGACAGAGAGAGAGGTCTTCCATTCGCTGGTTCACTCCCAAAATGGTCGCAATGGCCGGAGCTGGGCCAATCCAAAGCCAGGAGCTTCCTCCAGGTTTCCCACGTGGGTGCAGAGGCCCAAGCACTTGGGCCATCTTTTACTGCTTTCTCAGGCAATCAGCAGGAACTCCAACTGTTGCCTTTATGAGGCTTAACCTACTATGCTACAGCACCAGTCCATAAACTCAGGACTTTAACACTAGTTAATTCCATTCCTTTCACTTTTAGGTACTGGTCAAAAACAACCTACCACCTAGTTCCTTTTCTAATTTCCTACCCTCATACGCTCACAGTTTTTTGTTCCCTTACCTTTTGCTCTTCCTATCCCTTTCTGTTCAAAACCACTTCCCTTAAAAAATTCGTTTTTTCCTTACTGGTGTTATTAAAAAATTTACAGAAGGAAAAGATGAATTTATTCACATTAAAAAGTTACACACACACGCACACACACACACATGCACACACTGAGCTTCTTTTCCAGCCTTCTTTCATGATTGGGTCCAGTTATTGAGATACTTTTGATTTCTTTTATTTGGAAAACACAGCAGCCTTTGGCTATTTCCAGGCCCAGAGCTCCTACAATTGCTACTGAGTTGTTTTTGTTTCCCAGGGTCATTTATCTTGTTTTTCAGTACGTTCTCCGTGTCCCCCTCTCGTCCACACTCCTCTTCTTTTCCTCCCCTCCTTTCTCATCACTCCTCCTTCTTCCTCTCTAGCTCCCTTCTTCCCTCTGGTTCTTGTTTGCTTTCTGGGTTTCAGGGATTTCTGATCCCTGGAGGACAATCTTGGATATCACTCTGAAATACTTTAGAAGGCACAAAGTTCAGTGTTCCAGTTTGACACAGCTTCTGCATTCCATATACACCTTGTTTTCGTCAAAATAAATACACACAACAGAGCAAGATGGGCCTATAATGAAAAGGCCCCGCCCTAACCTTCAGAGGCAATTACTCTGTGAATTAATTTTTGTGGGTTTTTTTGGTCTTAGATGTTTACTTGTTGTGGTCCTCTAACTGGGAACTTCTGTATCCCAGTTAGTATTCTCCTATCATTTCTTGCCAAAAGTTTAGCTCCCTCTTATGATCTCCCTTTCACTATGTTCAGCTTTAAATAGTTGTTACCTTTTCTTTTTTTTTCTCTGTTGTTTACCTCTGTAACCCCTACACTGTTAAAGGGCAACACAGAGCTGTACTTAAGAGAAAGGACCCTGAAGCAAGACTGCCTCGGTTTCTCTGGTCTGCCTCGGAAATGATGGCATTTACTATCTCTAAGATTAATGCTCTTGAGAGAAAACGCCAACACTCTTTGGACTTCTTCCCCTTTTGGCCTCTTTTATTCCTTTCTCAGCCTTTTATCTTTGGATTTCTGTGGTAGCTGTTTTGTGAAACCAGTCTGGAATCAGTGCTTTAAACTGTCTTTGCCATTTCTGATTCCAGATGAGCACTGCTGGAAATAATTACTCTTTCATTAAGTAGCATCATTACATGCTGAGAGGTACAGTGGCTGGCTAAAAGCATGGGTTCGGGAGACAGACTGCCTAAGTTTAAATCCAGGCTCTACTACTACTACTACTACTACTACTACTACTTCTATTACCACTGGCTATTGCCCTTGAGTTAGTTATTTAACCTTAGTTTCCTCATCTGTAAGATGGGCATGATTGCCCCTAACTAAGAATCATTCTGAGAATCCATTAATATGGTAAGGCACATAAGTACTGTTGGGAACACAGACATTCTCATATGGGTTGCAGATGTCCCAAGACGTGTCTTAACTGCTATGCCAAATGTCCACCCTAATTTTTGGTTTTAATGGAATTTTAGGTTGTATTTTGTTTTGCTTTTTTTAAAAAAAAAAAAGATTTATTTGTTTATGAGGAAGAGTTAGAGAGAGATAGAGGGATCTTTCATCTGCTGGTTTACTCCCCAAATAGCCACAATGGCTGGGGCAGGGCCAGGACGAAACCAAGAACTTGGAAGTCCATACAGCTCTCTCAGGTAGGTTGCAGGAACACAAGGATTTGGGTCATCATCTGTTGCTTTCTCAAGCACATTAGCAGAGAGCTGGCTATGAAGTGGAGTGGCCAGGACTCGAACAGTTGCTCTTATATGTGATGCTGGTGTTGTAGGCAACAGCTTAACCCTGTGAGCCAGAATGATGGCCCCAGGTTTTATTTTTTGAATATGAAACCAAATACTATAGAATTGTTTTTCTTTTTTTTGACAGGCAGAGTGGACAGCGAGAGAGAGAGACAGAGAGAAAGGTCTTCCTTTTGCTGTTGGTTCACTTTCCAATGGCCGCCGCGGCTGGCGCGCTGCGGCTGGCGCACCGCGCTGATCCGAAGACAGGAGCCAGGTACTTATCCTGGTCTCCCATGGGGTGCAGGGCCCAAGGACTTGGGCCATCCTCCACTGCACTCCCGGGCCACAGCAGAGAGCTGGCCTGGAAGAGGGGCAACCGGGACAGAATCCGGCGCCCTGACAGGGACTAGAACCCAGTGTACTGGCGCCGCTAGGTGGAGGATTAGCCTATTGAGCCACGGCACCGGCCAGAATTGTTCTTTACAATATATATCTACTATGTTAATTTAACAGTCTTACAAAAATGTATTAGACATTGGAGAACAAGAAAGAACTATAAAAATATTACCTCAACACCCATTTCTCCAGGTGGCCCAGCATCGCCTTGAAGTCCTCGTGGTCCCTATATTAAAATTTAAGGTATGAGAATCAAAGTTTACTCAATTTCAAAAAATATATATTTAAATAGGAAATTCATGACATTTAATACATATTAATTTACTTATGAGTATATTACCTTAAGTAAATTATAACTTTAGTTGATTCATCTATTTTTGTGTGTGTGTGGATAAATCGAACTATGCTTGGAATCCAAAGAAAAGGAAAGAAAGGAGTACTATTCATTATTTTATTCTCTAGTGCCTTTAGACAAACATTTACCAAGAAGCCAGCTAGTAATTACATAATATCAAATACTGTGCTGAGGATGTTCACAAGATATCTTATTTAAAGGGTACAGTAGTCATATATCTATTCAATATTCTGGAAAATATGTGAAAAACAAAATAGCATTTTAAAAAAGGATAATATATGATCATTTTACTGCCACAATGGTTTTGCCTTTTCCAGAATTTATGTAATTGGAATTACATAGTTTGTGGCCTTTTTGGGTCAGCTTCTTTCACTTAGCAATATGCATTTAAGGTTCCTCTGTGTCAGAAAGGTCTTGGGTCCGCTGGTTCACTCCCCCAAATAGCCACAATGGCCAGAGCTGTGCTAATCCGAAGTCAGGAGCCGGGCGCTTCCTCCAGTCTCCCACTCTGGTGCAGGACCCAAGCACTTGGGCCATCCTCCACTGCCTTCCTGGGCCACAGCAGAGAGATGGACTGGAAGAGGAGCGACCGGGACAGAACTGGCGCCCCAACTGGGACTAGAACCGGCGCCCCAACTGGGACTAGAACCCTGGGTGCCAGTGCTGCAGGTGGAGGATTGGCCAAGTGAGCTGCAGTGCTGCGAAAAGTGTTGGTTTAGAAATTAAAGATTATCTTTAAAGTTTGCATTTGTCCTACATACTCATTATGTATGAATTGATTTATCAGAACTACCAATTGATAGATTGATTTATCATCTGTCGTATTGTTTTCAAAATGTACCTAAGGGGCCGGCGTTGTGGCACAGTAGATTAATCCTCTGCCTGTGGCACTGGTATCCCATATGGGCGCCGGTTTGAGTCCCGGCTGCTCCTCTTTCATTCTGGTTCTCTGCTGTGGCCTGGGAAAGTAGTGGAAGATGTCCCAAGTCCTTGGGCCCCTGCACCAGAGTGGGAGACTGGAGGAAGCGCCCGGCTCCTGACTTCGGATTAGCACAGCTCTGGCCGTTGTGGCTATTTGGGGGAGTGAACCAGCGGACCCAAGACCTTTCTCTCTGTCTCGCCTTCTCACCATCTGTAGCTCTAACTTTCAAATAAATAAATAAAATCTTAAAAAAAAAAAGTTCCTCTGTGAATATTTGTGGCTTAATAGCTATTTCTTTTTTTTTTTTTTTTTTTTTTTTGACAGGCAGAGTGGACAGTGAGAGAGAGAGACAGAGAGAAAGGTCTTCCTTTGCCGATGGTTCACCCTCCAATGGCCGCCGCGGCCGGCGCGCTGCGGCCGGCGCACTGCGCTGATCCGATGGCAGGAGCCAGGAGCCAGGTGCTTTTCCTGGTCTCCCATGGGGTGCAGGGCCCAAGCACCTGGGCCATCCTCCACTGCACTCCCTGGCCACAGCAAAGGGCTGGCCCTGGAAGAGGGGCAACCGGGACAGAATCCGGCGCCCCAACCGGGACTAGAACCCGGTGTGCCGGCGCCGCTAGGCGGAGGATTAGCCTAGTGAGCCGCGGCGCCGGCCCAATAGCTATTTCTTTTAATTTGTTTATTCAATTTCTTTTTGAAACCATTGTTTTAGCCAATTCAAGTTTCTAATTTATTTCTGATGTTTCTTGAGGATGAGAAGTATGAGGCCCAGGTGCTGGCAGATTCGGTGTTTAGTGAGGGCCATTGTCTAGTTCATAGTTGCTGCCTTATGGTTGTGCATTCACATGGTAGAAGAGGTGAACATGCTTGCTGGGGTCTCTTTTTAAGGGCACTCATCCTTATTGTGAAGGCACAGTTCTGATGACAATTTAATCACTTCCCAAATATCCCACTTCCCAATATCATCACTTTAGGGATTAGGATTGTTACATGTAACTTTTGGATGAACACACTAAAATTACAGCAGATATATTAGATGCTGTTATTTTGTCAAGTCATAAATAATTTAATATGGGAACAGAGTGAATTTTATCAAACAGTAAATCTGATAATTTGGTTAATTATCATTTGAGATAAATGGAAGTGACTTTTGGTACTTAACTAAGAAACAGTATGTAGAAAATAATATTTTTAGTTATAGGGGATATCATAAAACAATGTTAAGGAGAATTAATTTTTAAGAGTGTAGTATTCACCTTATCACTACTTTTAAAGGTAGTTTTCAACAACAACACTAATATGTATCAATAATATTTATTCAGGTAGGGAGACTTTTTTTATCTCAAGGTTTCTGAGCAGAAAGGAAATAAAGGAGGAAGAAAGGATGGGACCACACCATTTTACTTTTACCGAGGGTGTGAAAGGAATACAGAATTTGTCATAATAAATATGGGGGTCACCTTTGTCAACCTTAGAAAAAAATAAATAAAGCCAGGAGGTTATTAAGGATTCTTATGAATGACTGCCTAAAATAATTACCACAAAAGACTGCCGGAACCAAAGTTTGCACAGAGGCCGTTGCAGCCTTACACTAAAAGTACTTTTATAAGGGCAGGAGAACAGCAACTGTATGTCTTTTCAACACTGGACTGGTACCATCCTGGTTATTAGTCATTTTGGCCCGATTAGTGTTTCAAAATATCTGATGTAATCCTTCTCATTTTTTTGACACTAAAACTTCCTCGTGCCTCAATCTCTTTGAATACACCCATAGTTTTCTACAGCGTACGTACTCCTATTGTAATGCTCTGCTCTTCCCAAGTAAGTATCATCATTCTTTGGAAAATATCTGATTGCTGTTTTAGATTAACAAGGGTCACAGTGAACAGCTTTGTAAGTTGAATGCTGTATAAACCCAAGGATATTGTTTGTGTCAGTCTTTTGTTGATTTTGTTTCTTTCTTTCTTTCTTTTTTTTTTTTTTGTATATATGTCTGAAATCTAGATTGGGGTAATCAAATTTTTTCTTACATGGCCAGTAAGCATTTTAGGCTTCTGGGTCACATGGTCTCTATAAGCAACTATTCAACTTTGCTGCTGTAGCATAAAAGCAGCTGTGCATATTCTTAAGTGAATGGTGTGGCTGTGTTTCAGTGAAACTTGTCTTACATCAGCAGGTGACTGGACTAAAGGCTATAGTCTGTCTACCCCTTTTAACACTCACACACTTCTAAAGGAATCTAAGCTTGTCATGAATATTTTAAGGTAGGTTAAGGTTAGAACCAAAACTCTTTTGATTTATGTATCCCAATTTTGTTATCTCTTTCAGCTTCCTCTGCAGTTTCATCCCATTCTACCAACATTTTTAAATGTTGAAATTCTTCAACCCTCAGTGTTTGACCTGTAACTAAAAATTACGGAAGTCCATTGTTTTGGAATAAGTTTTTACTCTAGGCTCCACTGGACCAGACCAAAAATCAAAATGGAGTCACTCATACTAATATTCCAAGTCAGCAAACTAAAACTAAATTTTTATCTGACCTGAGAAATCAGGAGAGAGAAACAACTAGATTCCTTAAACACAGATTACAATTGTCATAACGAAGTTCCTTATGCTTTAATCCTTACAAAGAAGTAATCTGAGGTTAATCACTTATTTTTCATTGTTTTATCTCCCCATCACCGCCTTGTAAGAAAAATAACTATGAAATGACCAATCCATTTTTTGCTGTGTCTGCTTTCTTCAAGACTTTCTCTGTATATAAAACCAACCTCTTCGGCTTAGCTCATTAGAACACTTAATCCTACTTTTGGAATGAACTGTTGCCTAATTCTAGAATTGCAAATAAACCAATTAAGATCTCTAAACTAAATTAGCTGTAATTTTGTCTTTTGACAGATCCTTTTCTTTCCCCACTTCTATATTCTCTCCACAGGCAACAAGTCCAATATTCTTCACTTCAGAGCACTTTTTCTGCTCTGAATCCAACTGCCAAATTCACACTTCTTAGAGGCACTCCAAATTCAATGTAACTAAACTTAATCTTCAGACTTTCATTCACAAACTTAGTTTTCTATTGGCTTCCCCAGTTTCAGTGAATGGTGGCATCCTCTCTTTACCATGACAAGCCAGAAGGTTAGGATTTATCCTTCAGACACAGGATCTCTATCTCCCATGATTTTATGCCCTTTTCAATCTTTTCATCTGTCCACCTTTTTTTTCTCTGCTAATGAAAAGGGTTCCACTATATGTCACTCAAATTACTGCAACAGGGAGCTGTTCTTGTGGTTTGAGTGACATTTACAAAACAGTAATGTCATCATAAAACTAGCCCTACCCCTCCATCAACATCCATTGGTTTCTAGGATAAAAATACAAAACCTTTTTTTAATAAAAGATTTATTTATTTATTTGAAAGTCAGAGTTACACAGAGAGAGGAGAGGCAGAGAGAGAGAGAGAGAGAGAGAGAGAGAGGTCTTCCATCCACTGTTTCACTCCCCAACTGGCGCAATGGCCGGAGCTGCACTGATCCGAAGCCATGAGCCAGGAGCTTCTGCAGGGGCCCAAGCACTTGGGCCATCTTCTACTGCTTTCCCAGGCCACAGCAGAGAGCTGGATTGGAAGTAGAGCAGCCGGGTCTCGAACTGGCACCCATCTGGGATGCCAGTGCCTCAGGCCATGGTATTAACCCGCTGCACCATAGCGCTGGCCCCCCAAAATACAAAACCTTGGGAATAAAGCTCATCAAGCTGCGTCTGTTCTGCTACCTGCCCCCGTTTGTTCCCTCATCTTACACTTCCTCCCTAACTGAGCCTGAGAGCCATGCTGGCCTTCATTTAGTTCTTCAGATGAATATGTGGTGCTTCCTTCCAGCTCGTGCCTTCTCTCAGAAATGACCTTCCCTTTTCATTGCCCAGGTAACTGCCATTCACCCTTCAGGTTACATCA